TTACCAGAGAAAAAGACATGGCTATGTCAGATAAATTTTCAATGGAGCAAACCTTAAGTGTAAGTCTTCTGGGAAAGCACATACAAATCAAATCAACTTATGCATTTTTTTTTAAATTTCAGAGTGTTAAATTGGAATTGGAGCTTAAGGAACAGAAAGTCGTCGGTTTGAATCGCGAGCTTCAGGAATTGACGTTTAGCGGCAACACCGAAGAAGAAGTCGCAGCACTCAAGCGATCCAAACACCAGCTGGAGAGTAAACTCAAAGACCAAGAAGAAGAACTGGATGATCTTGCCGGACAGGTGCAGTTACTGGAGCAGGTGAAAACTCGCCTGGAGATGGGACTTGAACAGGAGCGAAAGGAACATCGACGAGAGTTGGCTCAACGTGAACAAGAGAACGAGGAGACTCGGTGTTCGGCGGCGAAAAAAATCAAGGCGCTGGAATGCGAGATCGAAAACGAGCACGAAGAGAGGACGGCGCTGATCCGGGAGCGACATGACCTAGAGAGGCGGCTGGTGGACTCCGAAGACAGGGAACGATGTCGGAGCATGAACGACCAGGAAACGATTTCCCGGCTCCGGCGGGACATGAAGAAGCTTAAAGCGTTGCTTAGGGATGCCCAGACTGTGCAAGAACAACGGAGTGACAGCCAGGCGAACCGCATAGCTATGCGGCAGTTGAGGAATCAACTGGAGGACGCGGAGAGCGCCAGAGACTCGGCGCTCAAGGCCCGGACCCTGGCTGAAACTGATCTGGCCGAGGTGACTGCTTCGTTGGACGAAGCGCAGGCGGCCAAACGTACGGCCGAAGAGCGCGCAGCCGGTCTGGCGCGGGACAAGAACCACCTGCAGGGCCAGCTGGACGAGAACGAAGAGGAGCTGGCCGAGGTACTGAAGAAGTACCGGGGTACGGTGCAACAGCTGAGCGCCGAACAGACCGTGCAACAGGAACAGGCAAGTCGCATTGCCGAGCTGGACACGGACCGGGCCAACTTGCAGGAGCGACTGGCTGAGCTGACGTTCCGGTTGGACAACATGGAGACGCACGGCGACCCGGCCGGATCGCTGAACCTGAAGCGGCTGCAGCTCCGCGTCACCGAGCTCGAGTCCAAGCTGCAGCTAGAACTGACCACCAGAACCCGACTGGAGGTGCAGATAGCCCGGCTGAAGGAGACCGTCGAACGGTTAGAGTCCGAACGAGAGACGGCCCAGTGCAAGGAGAACGCAGCACAGGAGACGGTGCGCAAAATGCAGAGGTCGTTGCGGGAGGCCCGGGAGTCGATGGCCGAGAGGGAGTCCCGAGAGTCGGCGGACGTCAACCGCAAGCGGGCGCTGGAAAAGCGAGCCGAACAAGCAGAGTCGGAAGTGAACACCGTCAAGTCCGATCTGGCACTGGCGCTGCAGCGCATCGACGATCTGCAAGCCGCCATGACCGGCGATCTGGATGACGATGACGATGACGAGTTCCGGTCGAGCAGCGATGACGACGACGACGACGACGACGACGACGGCGGAGACGGCGACAGCGACGATTCGGTAACCACATTCTTGGCCAACCAGGGCGCGAGAAACACCACGATCCTGACACAGCAGCAAAAAGTGAGTGGACGCGTTTTTCATTTGATCACCTAGAACTCGGAATGTACCTATACATAACCTTCATAACGTTCCGTGTTAAATTTTTTTTAATTATATCATAACTGCAGTTTTTATATTTTTCATATCCTATTGTTTCTTATCCGGGCTCTCTAGCCTTTCACTTCAAATATTAAAACTGTAAACTTATCTCCAAGAGATTTTAAAGGATTCTTGTGTTAGAAATTTTAAATACAACGACTTTCCAAATTATTATTGTTGAAAAAAGTTATGTGCTGCAGGGCGTTGAATGTTGATTTATAAAATGAAAGTTGAAACATGTGTGTTTATTTACGTGTGTTATTATTGTTTGTTGCAGAACGTGGATTCGAATAATTGATGACTAGTAAATTTCCTGAAGAGTTTGCACCAAAGTATTATTTAAATACAATTTTATTATAAATCATGTATGTAAAACAGTTACTTAATAGTTAATTGTGAGTTAAATTATTATTATTATTATTATTATTATTATTATTTATACCTATTTATATTTAAGCGCCCTATACATAAATACGATTGTGATTTACTGATTTTTACTACCCTCTGTAGCTCTCTAATTACTTAATTATTCCCTTTCCCAGTGTCTTCCATCAATCGTATGGGCGAACGCACTCGTGGCCAAAATCTTATTCGTTAATAACCGTCCACCGACGCAATAAAAGATTTTTATGTTCACTGACCTATTTATAATCTTTTGTACTGATTTTACAAAATTTGTATTGTATTATGTAATAAAATGTTATCATTTTTTTTTCTTATTATCATGTGTATTACTGCGTTTACGTGTCCTCCCCGAATCATTCACTATCAAGTATCGGTTACTATTTTCCCAAATAGAGTGGGTGCCTGCTCAAAGAAAAACATAGATACTAGCAGTGCGCTTATGATTTGTTGATGGTTTAGTGTTGATGACAAATCGATTTATATGTATCTCAAACTCAACCAAATACAAACTACATATCTATTAACAGATAATTGCAAATTCCAGTTGACTTTGGTGTACTATTATACTATGTTTCTTTTCAATGTAGGGCACCAGGCACCAACTACCAGGTAACCGCGTATGAAAAAACTCCACGAGTTTTGAAGTATTAAAAAACGAAGAATTTGAAAAGTTGCAAGCCATCAAAATGTTTCAATAATTTATTACCTACCGAATATTTACTAAATTAAGTAGAGAATTGTGTAAATATTAAAATTACATTTTTTTAACATTTCAATTTTTTTTTTAAATTTGAAGATTACGTTAAATTGTATGTCATATTTTTGTTGAATTTTAAGCTCACGTGTTTTTGTGATTGTATTTAGTTTTTAATAAATGCTGTCATTAAAAACTAATAAAGACAACGAAAAAAAAAATAAAATCTGTATAGGCCAAAATTGATTTAATTGATTTTAAAACTAACTACCTATGGTAGTTCTGTAATAATTTGGATTTTATAACCTGCAAAAGACACATGAAAAGAAAAAATATATAAAAATCTTTTTATGTAACTTCTGACAAATTTAGATGAGCTATTTAAAGTCACTTGCTGTTGAAAACGATTACTAATATTATACTTTTAGTAACTACTGACATGGTTTAGACAAGCCCCCACATCAAATTTTGGGTCCTATACAAAACTTTCAATAAAATATAACCCATTACAAGCGATACGAGTGTCCCATACACGATTTCTACTTAATGTCTTAACATAATATTATAAATTATAATATACATTTACATCATAAAATATTATTTAATATAAAATAAGTACTTTAGGTCCGACAGCCCCCCCCCCCCTTTGTGGATAGAAAACAGCGGGTATAATAGTGGTAGTTCAGAGTAATATTAGGTCCTAGTTATATAGTATATCAGTTATTGGGAGTATTGGTAAACCTTTCAGTAGATAAAATTCATTTGAATATTTGATAAATTGTTGTTTTTTGTATGTGCGCACTAAATCACAAATGGAATCAATATAAATTATATTTTGATATAGGATTTTCCCTTAGGTTTTTTAGGACTCTAGCCCCTTTTAGTTTTTACTATTCAATCCTAGTTACGTCCGTGGAAATGTACCATTATTGTATTTTTATCTTTTCAAGACAGTATCATCAGTTTAACAACTTATAATATATTTTTCCCCCGTGTAAGAACTAACATAAGTAAGTTCCTATTTTTATAGTTTAGGAACCTACATAATATATATTTTTTTCCGTGTAGGAATATTAGGAACTAACAAAGTATTATGTATTTTTTTACAATAGGTCTCGTGTATGAACTTAAATTTTGCCGTTCAACACTGAATTATTGGTTACAAAATAATACTTTTTTATGATAGATATATTAACCAGTTGATGGGGACTGTTTGCACATGACGTGGCTCCCATGCAGCAACATTTATTGCCAAAAAATAAATTACATCTTCGTGGATGAAGGGGAAACAGTACCCCCTCATTGGTTCTTATAGACCACCTTTCGTTAAATAACAATAATAATACATTTTTTCTATCACCATACAAACTCGATCTTTCCTCGCCCCTTCTCAGGCTGGCTGTAACCCGTCACTACAAAAGAATATATAATAATATAATACAATACGAAACAAATACAAAATTGGATAAAAACAGCGCCATCTATGTCGTAAATTTTAATTTAAACGCCCTCGTAAATTACCCGCGACTGAAAATTGTTTTGGTCGCTAGAAGACGCTCGTGTATTCATTTTTTTTATTCAGTTTTTACTAAAGTCATTTGACTAGTGCCTCCATTGAGCTGTGCATAACTTAGCAAATGAGTGAACGAAAGTTTAAATTAGTGTAATATCGAGTTAAGGGTAGTATAGATACATTTTATAACGCTCAGGGGACAATTGCTCAGAAGTTTAAACTCATACTAAAAGTGACGAATTTCGTAGATCAATAAAAAACTATATTTTTACAATGAAATGTGGTTTATTTTTTATTTTTTGTGTATGGATAAGTAGTCGAAATAATTACTTGGTATTCAACTTTTGCCACTTCTGATAGAAAATTGAACGTGCTGTTGCTTTTTAGAGGTCAAGATAGAAAATTCCCTGCACTATTTGTCCAAAAACAAAATTAATACCGCAAAACCAGATTTTAACCAAATTTGATCTTGTTTTTTGGTGGTAACTCAAAAATGATTTAAACAAATAACAGTAGATACCTGCAATTTTACACGATTTTGAATTAAGTTATTTTTTAATTTTTAAAGAGTAAAAATATTGGTACATAAAATACCTGAGTGCTGAGTTACATACACATTGAAAAATACGATGAACATAAGGATTTTTTAGGTTTTGCTTTGTGATTGAAACAACAGATTCAGTAATCACAAATAAAAAAAATGTTTTGCTATGCAGAATACTCAAAAATAATTTATTAGCAAGTATTAAAAATAAATAACCATATCTTATAATTAAAGGATGATACACGTATATAGGTGATAAAAAAATAAATATCATATTTGTGTATTTTACTTATTGATGATAACCATCAATAAGAAAACTTTTACTAAGTATTAAAATCATGAGTTAGATGTGCCACAGCCGTTGCACCTAAGTCCCTCTTGGGAATGCACAAAAAAAAATCAAGTTTGGGCTGCTATAGAGTCACAATGCTGCCTCGTCTCTACAAAGTCCTTGAGTTTGGCCACGATCGTCGACCACGAACTGTTTCTTTCGACCTGAAAAACATTAAATATAGATGGAGTGTAACAAGAGGGTGGCATACTGACACGATAGGAAAAAAAGCGACGGACCCAACAATAAGGGGCCCCAAAAAATATGATGGAAACAATTTTAAAAATTAATTACGATTTCGTTTTAGTAAGATTATTTTCTTGTTGTAATCTACATTGTAGAACTATAATAAAAAATGTTATACTGTTTTACAAGCATCTTATCCATACTAACTTCGTCAGATTCAGGACTTTTGAAAGAAGTTAAAAAGTTTATTCTCAAATACAAAATATTTAAAATGTCAGAAACATTAACGAGTGTAATAATTACGATTGTAATTCGCGGAAATAAAAGACAAAATATTGCACATATAACTAATATAATGAAACTATATCATATTATAATGTATTGCATACATAATTTATAGTTAATATTTATTTATTTTTGATAGTTATTTTTTTAAACATTTTTTAATTTCATGAATGTCTGATAAAATTAATATTATTTTTCGAGGGGATGGGGTCCATAAAATTTAAGGCCCGTTGATCTTACAGTAAATCCTAGTTACGCCACTGATCGCATGACTATATAATATATATGTTCCATTAATGTGTACATTGCCCGGTCAATGTGGTCCTGCCCAGACAATGTAAACCACGAATTTTTTTTTTACCAACTAATATTATTTTTTATTATTATTACCTATTTGTAGTATTGATTTTTTTTTAAACAATCATTATTCATTTTATTCATGTATCAGAATACAATAAACTATGAACTTTTTGAAACACCGGGTATAAACTTATTTTTGTTACTATCGCACTGCCTATTTAAAAATCAAGTGTAGAAAAGCAGACGTACTATGTATTTTCAAGTGTCATGCTTCTAAATTGCTCAAAGTGTTCAAATAAATGGTTAATAATAAAATTATAGTTGATTATAAAAATAAAACGATAATACTTGTTATTTTTTTTTTCGTTATTCAATCAAAATATTCGTAATATTATGGTAAATGAATAAAATTAATAATGATTGTTTTTAAAAAGATTAATACTATAAATAGGTAATAATTATAATTTATAATAATAATAAAAAATAATATTGGATGGTTAAAAAAAAATGTGTGCTTTACATTGCCCGGGCAGAACCATGGTTCATGTGCACATTGACCAATATACACATTGCCCGTAACATATACATAATATATCGAGTACACAACAAACATCAAAATAACCAAACTCTCGTCATTACCCTTCCTCTTATCCATTTCGACAGTCCGGACAGGTTCTTGGGCTGTTCATACCTGCTGTCCACTAACAGGATAGCGCCCCAATCGTTCCTGTGCCTGATGCACCGGCCGAGTGCTTGGTTTAACGCTCTGTATGCCTGAATCTGGTACCACTCCCAGCCAGGCAACAGCCCTTTGTTCTTGTGATGTTTGTCGTTGTAATCTTTTTTGTGGGTCACGGCCGCATCTTTGTAATTCGGAAACGGAATGCCGACCTAAAACAAAACAAAAACAGTTAGTACAAAATTAATAAGCAAACGAATTTCCGTGAAGACCGGAAACGTGTATCTAGATAACCATGATTATAACTTAATACGTATCAACCGCGTAAAGATACCGGGAAAAGACAGCTATATAGCAGTATTATAGTGTACAATGTACATTGTACATATTTTTGTTTTTCGATATACGTTTTTCTACCCCTTCAAAAATAAAACGAAAGCCCTGATGTGTTTCAAATGTGATATCGAGTCGGTAATTTATATGCCTACCTAATATATTTTATATACTCTTATAAAGGTACTTAGGTATCACTTAGGTACTTCAGATTATGAAATCAAAAACAGAGCCTATAGCCGTTGTTTAGAAATCAAAAGTTTATAGTATTTATATTGATTCACCAACAAACATAATGAGTGCAAAAAATAAGGGCAATATAAGTCGTTAGCATACAGATAATATCTTAAATTTCCTCAAAACTTCATTATAGTTTTCAAAATACAAACGAACCGTGTTTGATGTGAAAAAATTGAATATTGTACACATCATAAATATTCCCTAACTGCGAGAGGTCGTGTGCTTTTTTCAATTCTCAACTTACGGCCACCACCGCTCGGGCGTTGTTGTCCGAGAAATCCAGCCCTTCGCTGATTTTGCCGCGGTACACGGCCAGGAAGAGAGCACCGCTCGGGCCCCCCTCGTCCCCTCGGACGGCCGCATAATACTTGGTCATCAACTCCTCAAGCTGGTCGCCTCGGCGAGGCTCGCACATGACCACCTTGATCCGCTTGAGGCGGTCCAGAAGTCCGGTGATCTGCCACCGATTATACAGCTTCTCCATGAGCATGTACGACGGCATGAAGCACAGCACGCCATGCGGCACGGTGGAGCACACGTCCCACAGCACTTTGCCCATCTCGTCCTGATAATTGTACGTGTTGATGTTCCGGTACTGGCCGTTGAGGTCCGTCCCGTCCGGCCCGACGCTCACTGACGACACCCAACACTGTTCTGGCTTGATGACGTGGCCGGCCTCCAGGGCGATCGGGAACTGCGTTCCGAGCTCGGACTGGAACGACTGCATCGGCGACAGGGTGCCGGACGTGAGGATGATGGTTCGGGCCGTCGATTTCAGTTCGCTGAACACGGCCGCCGGGTTCAGGCACAGGAAGCTGACCACGTTGTTCCACACCGGCCGCGAGTCCTCGGGCTCCGCCGCGCTATCGATCCAACCACCCAAAGTGCCCTTCTTCTGCGCAGTGCCACGAAAATAATCATGAGCCATATTTTTATAGTATATTATATTATATTGTTATTATTAATTTTATTTTTTTTTTTTTCAGTTTATATTCGATAGTATACGAATATAATATTAGCTTATACATTATACGTATTACTATAGGTGTTATATAAAAGCTGTTTTATACTATAAACCTATGTAAGTATATGTATACTTTATGTGTACATCGTACATCAGATACATATTATAAGGTTGGATCTAATTATTATGCCCCCCTCCCACCACCAACAACAAATAAATATTGATTATCATATCGGCATAAGATTCTTTGCATGGACGTCTTATGTGATGGAATGTAAATGAAATGTATACCTAAATATATTATATATTATAGTATATTTGTATATGTTAATTAATTTATTAAATAATAATGGTGAAAATAATAAGAAAGCTTGCATAAGCAAGAATGACCAAAAGTGTACAGACAACTTGAATTCAAAATAATTTATAAATATTTGTATAAACAGTTTGTAAGCAAAATTTAAAATATTAAATAGTTATCAAACATATTAACCTACATATATCCGATTAAATTTTCAATAGGTACTATTATTGTCTACTATATAATTTAAATCTTCCCATCGTGATTATAAAAATATAACCACCATTTTATAGGCAAGTAATGGGTAGAATTAAACTGAATCAACCCACATTCCACAATAGATTGGACTGGGACCAAATCCAAAAATTAATATTCTAAAAGAAACTATACAGTTCAATTATTATAACTTAACCAAAAACTGTACCCTATATCTTGAGAGTATTTAAAAATCAAATTTGTAAAAATTATACTAATGGACTATTAGCTACCTACTAATATACCTAAATTAAATTAAATCAAAGAAGTGAAAAATTTGATATATATGTGATGACGCTATTATTTTGACAAGTTCCACTTGTTTCTGAAATAATCAGTAATTATTAATTTCTTATCTTTGGAAAAAATTATACCACTTCGAATTTATAGACTATACTCACATAAGTTATTATTATTTTCACCATTATTCAAATTTAGTGGTAATTAATTTGAGTAGGTAGGTACCTACTTACATAATTTTTTTAAATTTTTTAACATTTGTTTAATTTTTTAATCTTTTTCCTAGTCTTGTCTTTGCCCATAATATACTGATAGACGTATTGTATTGTTGTTTTTTTCGTACTATACGAATAAAAAAAAATGTATTGTTTCTATTTATTTCAAATAAATGCATGACTTACTCCTCGTTCTTTGTGTTCAAATTTCTTTAATTGCATAATCTTCTCTAAGGAAACGTGGTAATCAAATTTGTACTTATCATCATATAATAAACTAAACACCATACAAATCGACGACAATAAGTTTTTAGTCGCATTTGTTATAGCCACATCATCATTTGTATCTTGAGACGAACGGTTTTCTATCGTTTCATCTTCGTCTATTTTTCCCAATTCATTTTCTTCATTTTCTCCATTTTCATTTGTATCAATTTTCGTCTCGTCAGATTCACCTTCTTCAGTTGAATCAGCCAACACTATTTCGCAGTCTTTCTGATAAAAAAAAAATATGATTTGTGGTTAAACCGATAGACGCAATTTTAGTTTTGGATTATATACACACTTTGAATTTTTCGAAGGCCGTCCACCCGATACCAAAATCATCAAAACTGGCTATGGTGTAAGTCCCTGTCCACGATATAACACCACGATTATAATCGTCGTAAGTTTTAATTTCTTTAGACTTTTCATCGATCCACTTTGACATATCGGACAAATATCGAGCCTATGGCAATCGATAAAGTATTATGCATTTTATTGTATTAGAGAAAGTGAATATTGGTAATTATTACATAATATGTAAAGTTCATATATACGTACATGCCAATAATCAATATAGGTACATTATAACCGCACGTGCGTGTACAGCATAACGATTTTACAAATTGTAACGATAAAACCTAGGAACTAGGTAATATATAATATATGAATATAGTCATACAGACATACTAAACACTTACCAGCCTCGAGTACGACACTGAATTGTTGCAAGACTTATATACTTTTTCGCAGTCCGCTTTGGCCAAATTCATATTCGTCTGATCCAACTGCAAACTTGCGGCTTCACGGCATTGATCCTCGATATTATGAGCTTCGTCGACAATTATCACGTGGCCTTTTAGTTTCAAGTTCATCTTAAAACAAATATTGGTCAATGTATTAGTCACACGGATAACAATATTCATCCAAAATAATATCGGGTGATAACTGATAAAAAGTATATATTTTATGCAAACAAAATTGGTAGGTATATATATAATATAAACCATACAAAATTATAATTTACGTCATATAATACGAACGTTGTACACACTGAAATACTGGAGTATAATCTATACTACTAAACTTACTGTACTTCTGATGACCGGATCGATAATATAATTGTAAGGACAAAAGACGATTTCGGCAGTTTTGAGCAATAATCTTGTACCGTAGTAAGGACAAGATCTTTTAGAAATGCCCAAACGCACTATGTCTTCGATATCCCAAACAGATTCCACTCCGAACTTAGCTAATTGGCCATAAGTGCTTATTTTCACACCACCGTTATCGTAATAAATACACCTATCGATTGTCCTTCTGAACTTTAATGAATTTCTCCGTCTCTGTAATCGAACGCAAATAAATTGAATCAATTTATTCCGTTGTCATTTTAAAATGCAATTTTTTACTATACTAATTAATAATATAGGATTCCAAAATATAGGTACTTGGTAATTATTGAAAACAATAGTAACTATAAAGTTTATTAGTATACGTAATTACTTAATAGTTAGTTGCAGGTATTAGATATTTTTAGGAGAACGTTACACCTTATGCCCTACATAAGTATTTTAAATCTTATAAGCGCGTACAACATATTTATCGAATTTACGTTCAGTACGTCTTAATTTTAGCATTTTTAAATTGTAATATTTTAGGTAACTAGCTTTAAAATATAAGTATCGAAGTACCTATGAAATGGAAAGAATGTTATAACGGTAACCTTTAAATTTGTTAATTAATTAATATAATGTAATATTTAAACTAATGACACTAAACTACATAATTTCTCTACATGGTTTTTCCACAAAATGTTACTAACACGGTTAATCATTTTCATAAAGTTGTTAAGTTTCCTCCAACATTTGTCTTCACATTTTAAGTCATTTTATAAATCAGTATGTGATTTACGAAATGAGATAATATAACTTTCTAAGTATATATTCACCATTCATAACTCATAAAAATATAAAATAAATATATTAAACTTTTAAACAACAATTTATGACAGCAAATAATTTTAAATTTGTATAAATGTTAAATATAACAAGTCATCCGGCAAAGGCTTTAAAAAATAATAATATACTTGAAATGTATTGCAAATAAATAACATAATTAATATATTTTTAAAAACATTATAAACTTTTGTCCCATGTAAAAGTTGAAATTTATTATGATAACATTAAAACTACATAAAAATTAAAAAATTAAATATTCAGAAGATAGAATAACATTTTGCTGTTGTTTTTAAAGCACTGAAACTGCATAAAATTACCTGCAAATGTTTTGTGTTCAACATTTTTTTGTTAATTTTTAGTATGTATATTGAAACAATTTAAAGTTTTATTTTAATTACTCTGTTATAGTTAAGGCTGTCTGGCTAAATGTTAAATGCAATTGAAATCAATTGAAAAAAGTGCAGAATAAAATGCCCTTTAAATCTCTAAATATGCACATTAAACCCTTAGAAATGCAAAACGTAAAAATAATGAATTTTGCTACAAATTTATTTGCAGCTCTAGTTGTAGTAAGTATTTTTAATTCTAGTGTTAAGTTAAACGCTTAACTATTAGTTTCTACCTAATAAAGTTTTATAACATTTATATTCGATTTTATTTTAAATTGAATGGTAAACATTTAAATTTTGCAGCTACCTAAACTGAATAACAATTTCAGACATTCTCAGTCTTTAATACTTGGTAATAAGTAGGTATGTTTTAAGATATTATATTTGTATTGTTATTACTACTTTTTTTGATGGCTAGTATACACTAAAAACTATACATAGATTTATTTAATATATTATATTATTATTAACTTGAGTTACTACAATTTACCGTAAAACAAATAATATTTTTAAATTACAACGAAATAATTAAAATAATTATTCTTCCTTGTTCATTTTTATTGTAATTGTAGGCAAATAACCTTATGATGTTGAAGCCTTTATCTTAAATTTGAAAAAAAAATTATTCTTCATTTGAATAGGTATCTAATTTCGTCAGAATTTATACATCAAATGTGTATCAAAAAAATTGTTGTTATGTATTTGTTAGACTTTTTGGTTTCAGTTTGAACTATTTATAAGAAACCACACATTACATTTTTAAGTCTTAGCTACAAAAATGAACTAGTTTATAACATTAATTGTAACTGCAAAATAATATGCAATATTTCGATCAGTAAATTAAATTTGTATTTTATAACATTAGTTTAACTTTACTACATATGTCATAAAAATTTAAAATGTTATTTTAGAAATACTTTTTAATGAATATAATTTTACCTATTATCTCTTAACCAGCTCTTTTTATTTTACATTAATAACCAGTAGTACATAGACTGTAAATTATCTAATCATACTGTTTAATTTTGCATAATATATAATTATTAATCATACATTATTGAATTCAGAATTGTGATACGATTTTATCACGTTATGATACTCAAAGTTTTGAACTAAATACTATGAGGTATGAATCAAAATATCTCATCATGCCTCCCCCCATTAATAACTATAAAAAAACCGTCAATAGTGATACTTAAAGCATTTTGTGCACCTACCGATGAAATGTGATACGGTACATTTTATTGCGCTTTCAATTGTTAATGCCCACCGGCATTTATTAACAATGGCCAATAAGGATTCAAAATGTATAGGTAGCTACACAAATGTTTTGCTAAACCAGTTACAATTATATTGTTTGGGGTCTCGTTTCAATGTTAAAAATAATGGGTTCGTTTCTTATTTTACAATACACACGGAATCATATGTACAAACATTCAACGGGATGTAATAAATTCCGATACATCTGAACCGTACACTTACCGCTTTTGGATCTAATAAATCCCTACACAATTCGGTTTTTGATTTGTATGATATCTGGGGGTAGTATAAGTTAGAATCTTGAATACATGTGTGTTCGCGGCTCGCTAACACGCAACTCCTAAACGAAGAGTAAATAAATATAATATATTTTATTATTATGAATGGGACACATTTTTTATCTCAGCTTACTTGGCGGTATTGAAACTAGTTCTTTGTAACTCTTTGATAACCTGTTCAATTTGTTTATGGGTTCTCGTACAGAAGTATATCACAGGGATAACTGGTCTAAATAAAATAAAAATGTCTTAAATTAACAATGAAAAATGAGTAACTTCTGGACTATAATTGATTTTATATAGAACTCAGTACCTAATATTATTACTTTTTCATTTTTAAGAGTGATCATTTTCAATTGTTTACTTTTTATTTTATATTTTGTAATGTAAAAATACAGTGAAATTATTTGTATAAGTTATTTTATTAAATGTAATAAATATTTTGTAATCTGATAATTTTATCTATAAGTATTTGCACCATGTAATATTACCAAATTTATCATCTAAGCAGTAAATTATAAAATAATAATATAATTAGATAATGGCAGAACGTTTTAAATGAATATGGTTACTGTTTTTTGAATTACAACAAATTAACAAAAACTGTTTGATAAAATAATGTTTTTACATCAAATTTAGTGAACATATGAGTTTCAAACGCCCACAATCATAAATGATTGTAAATACCTACTTATCTAAATACACGAAACATAAAAGAAAAGTAAATGAGAAACATTGATTTAATTGTTCAAATCTAATAGGTATTAATAACTAAAATTTGTAAGGATATTCGATTTTAAATAGGACTTTTTGGTAGTATACCATAAATATAGGTATATATATTGCTATAGAGGAGGAATTGTAAACTAATAATATTGATTGAATTATTTTACTTAGATTTTTTCGGCATATTAGTTCCTTTTTGCGGTTCAACTTTTTCGTCTTCATCTTCTGTCATCAAACTATTGTTAGCGCTGGAGTCATTGGTCATTATTGATTCGTCGTTTGACATGCTCTTGCAATCGGACACGTCCTGTACACAGAACAAAAATAAAAAATGAAATGTTCTCTCCATTCATTATTATACCTGGTCAAGAAATCACAATCAAAAATCCACTCACCAAATCTCTGCTGTTATTTATTTTTCTCTTTTTACCAGGCTGTTTAAATATGGCCATTTCCTCATCCGAATCATCGCTGATAGTGACGACCGTTGACAAACATAATCCTTTATTTTTAGCGGGTGAAGTATTCGTTTCTGTAAAAAAAAATATATATACAATTTTCGCAAGACGAAGACGTCCGGTATTATAATTGAATGCGGTGCGGCATTAGTTGTGGGCGAAGGCAAAGAGGGGTGAAAAATCATTCGACGATAGCCAACTTTTCGTTTGTATGTAAACGGATTCAAGCTTATCCGGAACGGATATTATACGCCATATACTGCTTGCGCCCTGTGGGGATATTATTAATCGCGTTTTCCTTCCCCATTTATTTTTAATAATGACAAAACGGAGGGTTTCGCAAAAATCCTTTTGTGAAAAGCCCCCCAGGGAGGATATTTGCTTGATACAGGAGTTATTATAAGAATTTTCTCTCGGTTTACTTTTTTAATTTTTTTTTTATTCGCCTCGGTTAAAGTATAGAAGAACAAAGAGAGATGACGTCGAGTAACCAGCGAAAACAGTGCACCGTACTCTTCCTTCGTCACAGCGACACAACCAATAAATATATACGAGAGTGCACATATATTTTAATTAACTTAAGACTGATTTTATATACGTATAGATACACTTTAGAAAATATAAAATACAAGCTACATAATAATAATTATATAGGGTGCGACGCATTTCTGCTGGCATTATAGTGTATAACGAAGTTAAATCGGTAGTCACGTGTCGGATCAACATCGACCGTTCAGAATTGAACCTTTTAAAGATAATACAATATGTTGACATGTGCCTATATGTTATTTCTACTTTGTGTACTTATATTAAATTATGTCGACAATAATATAATATAACAAATATGTGTATTTACGGTGTACCAAAATTGCATATTTTCATAATGATAGCATATAGATAGTAAATGCATCAAAAATATATCTATACTTTCTACGACCTCTATTATACGTAGGTACTATAGCTAGATACACTTACTTCACAAACCTATATATATATACTTTCACTGTTACAACTGTAACCGTCTGTTATCATTTAATTTATAGGTAGGTAAAATAGAGCCAATATGTAATAATTTAGTATAGTTAAAAAATATCGCAGCCAGCCGGTTAAAACACTGTTAACAATATTATTATATAGGTATGTATATGTACCTATAATATTCACCATGCATAGGCATTAGGTATACAATAATGAGTATCAGAATAACTTGACAATTAAAAAAACATTTGTTCCATTCATTATTCAATTTTTTTATATATAATTTATAGATGCTTGCACTACAAGTACAGACCTATATCCAAATTTATTTTTTTAATGCAAGATACAAAAATTTTAATTTTAACTGAATTTTTTTGGAAAATTCTAAATAGCCAATGTCTAAGTCTAATTTAGAAAAAATGTAAATGGTAAAAACGTTTATTTAAGTAAAGTAGTTAATTTTTTCGAATTTTTCAAAATATCAATATTTTTTCGGAGAAAATTAATTCGAAACGTAAACATTTTCAAGATGTATTTTTTTTGAGAATTTTCAGACATAAGTAAATTTTTAATTGTTTAATATCTATATAGTTTTTATAATTTTATCATACGTTTAACTTGTACACATTTTTCACTTTTATTTGTCAGGTCTTTCTGTTGGATCTTACAACCTGTATAATATACGAGAATATAGATATATATAGAAAGACATTAATGTAAGATTCGATGAAGTAAAATTATTAAATATTTACAATTGACATATATATACCTACGAGTTGTGTAAATTAATATTCATATTAATATTAATGAATTACACATTATGATGGCATAATATAATGACGATTGACGGCTTGATTAAAAAAATAATTTTCAGTTTATAATAGAAATATAATATTCGAGTTTTTCAAGGCAACAAGCTAAAAATAATATGTCCTGCAGGATTATATAAACATCAGTTTATTAAATTAACTATAGAATACTCTATTCAGTTTAAATTTAAGTGTTCAACAATTTGGCCACAAGATGCTATAATTAACAAACAACACAAGTGTTTTAGAAGTTAATTCCCTTCTCTGAAACAAAATAGTGTTTAGTTTTTAATGACTTCCCAAGATTAATCTTCAGGTTACACACTTATACGTCTTTGAATTAAAATTTGTTTGCAGACTCTTAAGTATTAACAGAGGGACAAGGGCTGAATTATATATACCTAATATAAGTACTTGTTTTACTTTAACAAAATATAGTTCATTCTTTTGTGTTACATCACAGATTTACATAATAAATGAATAAAAGTCTCAATCTCTTAAACAACGTTTCAAATAAATATTTTTCCACTTATATACTACGGTAAAGTGAGTAAAGTATTAAACATTTTAATTTATAATTTTAAACTGCAGACGCAGAGTATAGTGATGAAGATCATATCATATCATATCTATAAAGATGGTTCACATATTATTGAGGTAGCTTCCAAAAAGTCATTATTTAAAATACTGCACTGCAAATTAAAATATCGTATAAACGATTTAAGAACAAGGTAATAGATAACACTTAAGATAGAAATGTTATAATTTATCAACGATGAATATATATATTATGTATAATATTTATATTTATATATTCCCGCTTAGAAACAACACGTAATTCGATATTTAAGTATGGATTACCGGTAAGCATGAAAATGTGACCCATGAAAATGTTTCCATAAATGCTGTTGGATTTAATAGGGTTTTCAATAATATTTATTCAATTTGAGTCTGCAATGACTATATAAAAATATAAATCCCTATTTCCCTTAGTCAAGGCATCACGCGTATCGCTTATCATTTAAAACAGATCCATCTATCTTCTATATATGAAATAAAACAATTAATTTATAATTTCTTAGTACCCATTTCACAGTGAAATCAATCGGAAGATTAAAGAAAATTGTACAGTGAGTTTTTTGATAAGTGTTTATTCATCATAGTTAGTTTAAGCAATCACATTTGAAATTTTAAACAAACTTAAGTCACCCTCGGGCCGCCGTGCCATACAATATGTGTATAGGTATACAATTTGCACGTTTATTTTAATTAATAACTAATTTTCCGCGCAATTTTCTTAACTTTTTAGTAGAACTTGGTATTTTTTTAAATGTTTTGGTTGTCATTGGTTAATCGGGCAGATCAAGTTTAAGGATGCATCAAATCGAATTTTAGTACATAGCCTACCAAGGTGGCTGTCGGCTGAGTTACACTTATAGCCGCTTATCTCATCGGCATGTACACAATCAAAATAATTAATAAAGTTAAAATTAAACATATTATTCATATAGAGTATACTTGATAATATACTGCTCACATCATCACAAGCGAATCTCATATAGAGTTGGCATTTTTAAAAGGCAACGAAGTGCAATACAAGGCAATTAGTATTAATTATAAATACACTTTGTTAATATTTAATAGACCATAATAGCCATAAGGTGTATCCACCGATAAACATTTAAATATACAATACACTATTTGAGATAATTCTTTAGTTCACATTTTCGCAAGTTATAATTATAGGTATTCAAGCAATTAGATATTTTTAGTCTTGGTCATAAAATCAAAACGTTTGTTTTTTTTTCTTTAATTTTAAATTATTGCATTTATAATAATATTTAATTGAGTCCCCAATATTTTTCTGGTCGATACAAAATCAACAAAACATCGTTACGATAGATTTGACTAACATAAATTATTTTTGTCTTTCGAAAATTATTTTGACATACTGATCACTACTTACTAGCTAAGCTACCTCAAAGCATCTACGTGCGTATAGTGTTCAGTATATCACCAGTATTAATCGTTATATCGTTGTCACGCTTAAGTCACTTTTGTCACTTCTAACGACAAACCCGTTATATGCTGTAGTTGACAGAAGGAGAAAAAATGTTAATGACATTTAAAGATCTGAGGTCAGCCAAGTTCCACATTCCGACTTCATTTTTGACACGGGTTGGAACATGGCCGGCATTTAAGAGACACGCGTCAACGTCAAACGTAGCCATGATTTGTCGTCAACCAGCCGCAGCAGGAGACTCCGAAATCCATCAGCATTTGTCCACCCCAGCCGTGCAACCCTGCAATCCTCGTGAGCTGTCTGACTTGCTGGAACAGACGGACTCCCATCCAGTCCATCGGACCACGAGGTGTCTGTTGCGAAGTACGCGGGATACAACGCGTCGCTGCAGGAGAACGGTGCTGTAGATTCGATATATACGCAGATCGGAATTGACACCTCATCGTGTACGTCCGTGCGCCGGCGCCGGAACTTCAAGCAACATCGCCCAAAGTCCGGGAGCTCAACAAATTTGCAGGAAGCTGTTCAGGGCGGGGTCGACGGTCCTCAGCACCCAATATACATATGTTTCGAACTGGTGGACACCCCTGAACCGGCAACTCGCGGGGAATGCAGTGATGCCTCTGGTCAAAAGTTGGTCGGCGACCTCATCCATCATAAACGGCGTAGCACGATGTGGAGCCAGACGAAGAGATTCGCCCGGCGCATATTTTGCTGCGCCGCGCCGTTTAAGATGACCGCAACCTTTTTGTTGCTGTATGTAGTAATGTTAACGTAATTTATTTAGGTTCAACTTCAGGTGATCTCTCCCCATAGCCATAGGGCGATATCAATTGAAGTTAAACCTTATAGGAAATCACTCTTACATTACTCCCAAAATTATAAAACAACTATTGTTCATGCAGTTGATTTATATAAATACACTTGCTTTGTTATGCTACTTATCTAATTGGTTTTTCATTGAAATAGTATTATATTATAATCAAACGCATCAACACCCTATAGTAGGTATGTGTATAAGTTTATAAATGGTTGTTATTGATTACTTGGGCAGATAGACGATAATTACAGACCAGTATTTTATATTTGGTTAAAACCACCCAAATGTGAATGTGTTGAAAATTACGTGGTTTACATATCGTATTTAACCGAGTTAAAGTCGGGGTAATTTCAAGGGCATTTAATTTGTCACGGCGAGCATCGCCGTGAGGGATCAGCTAGTTACCTATACACGTCATACATTTATAACGTAGGTATGTTTTAC